CCTGAGCGGCTGTCCACTTCGCAGTTCTCACCTGGGGGGAGCGAGACAAGAAGCTTGGGACACATCCTGGGCCAGGGGCATGCACGCAGTGGCCACCCATCCACTCTTTGCCCTAGGAGTACAGACCTCAGTCTGGATTTGTGGCACAGTAGCCAAGGGGCAGGAGTTTGTGGGGCGACTGGGGCAGGCGAAGGACGTGACAACCCAGGTGTAACCCAGAAGTTCCCCACAGCAGCCAGCAAACTAGCTACCACTGCCAGCCCCACAGCCTGAGCCCCTGGGCTGGACAGGATGCCAGCTCCGGTTGAGGGGTCAAGTTTGGACCCAGGATGGCATGGGAATGGGACAGAAGGGGATTGCCACAGCTGGGCTACAGAGTTCTAAGGATGGAGAGGCAAGGACAAGCCAAGGAAGTCCTGGCGATGCTGAGAGTGCCTCCTTGGGCACTGCCACTGCACAGGCCTGGCACAGGCATCGCAGTCCTGGGTGTGGGGACAGCCCAGCACCAGTGAGCTCCCCTGCCAATAGCTATGAACGTCTCACCCACAGCACCAGGAACCTCCTAACCCCATGTGCAGGCTCTGACATAGCAGCAAAAGCCAACTGGAAACCAGCCACACAAGGGACACCAAACACCCCTTGCACCTTGGTGGCATTGGTAATGGGGATGCCCCAAGCCAGCTCAGCAGTGCAGTGCAGGGGTCTGGCCAGCCCCTCTTCCCACCCTGTCCCTGCAGCACGCAGGGAATCACTCAGCTGCAGTCCTACACCCCCAGCCCTGCTCCCATTACTTGTTCCGTGGCACGCAAGGAGGATGAGGAGACAGCATGAAGTGACAGGGAAATGAGCTCATTAACCCTTCTCCTAATGGCTCTTCATGCTTCAAATGCCAGGGGTTAATTACCACTGACTCTGCTTATCTCACCAGGAGCCACCGACAGGAGAGCGGCTCCAAGGCAGCCATCTGCTGCCACGCTCCCTCCCGGAAGGGAGGGCAAGGTAGGGTCTCCCTCCCCAGTAGCCACAGGCCACTTTCCCTCACCCCCAGGTTGCCAGTGGCCAGGCATGGGTCTCTAAAGCCTGTTGGGGACTTGTGGCAACAAGAGACTGGCTGTCCCAGGGATTCCCCCTACGGCTAGGATGAGATCTGCCTGGATCGGATCCTGCCTGGTGGGGCAGCTAGGCCCAGCCTCCCCTTCTGTTTTGGGTGGGCAGCAGCTCACACACCGCACGTGGGGCCAGTGTGGGCTCCACACCTTTGCCAGACCAGCTGAAGACTGGCATAGGCTGACACCGCACCCCTGATGGTCCCTGAGCCCATCATCCCATTGGCGTCAGGCAGGGCTGAGGAGCCTCCTGTGTCCCAGCCTGGCATGGTCCAACTTGGTCCTCCTGCTCTGTGAAAAAGGCTGGGAGGTGGTGGCCAAGGTCCCCAAGAGCCCTCCATGCCACCTCCTTACAAGACAGATTTCTATGGCAACCTCAGCCCTGCACATCCAGCGCCATGGAAACACAGAGAGCCGCGAGCAGAGACGGACCTCTGCAGGCAAAGAGGGGGTCTGACACCCACCACCCTGCTGGGAAGAGCACCCCGCCATGGTGACTGCAGTGCCAAGGGACCCGCTCACCCATCCTCCTGCAGCCCCCAGACCCGGGCACTCACCGCTGAAGTGCTGGCGGCAAACACACGTGTATCCTCCCTCCTTGCGGGTACAGATCCCGCCATTCAGGCAGGGGTTGGAGTAACAGAGGTTGATCTCCGTTTCACAGTAGTCCCCAGTGAAGCCCTGTGGGCAGCGGCACCGCAGGCCGGTGATGGGGTGGATGGGCCGGAAGAGGGTGGAAGGGGAGGCGATGAAGGGGGCCGAGCTGTCGAACTTGAGGACGGAGATGCACTTCATGTAGTTCTGGCAGGGCTCTCGCAGGCAGACATTGTCATCAAAGGGCAGCACCTCCAGCATGGAGGCGCCCGTCAGCGCCATGCGCTTCATGTACAGCTGCTCCTGCAGCTCCTCTGAGCTGAAGTAACGCCCGCCCCGCGGCGCCAGGGCCGAGAAGCTGACATTGAGCACCGTGCCGCCCACGTCTGTGTCGTTCTGGATGTTGAAGATGAAGATGTCCTCCTTGGGCGTCGCAAGCACGGTGGCGACCCCTTCCAGGAAGGTGGACAGCAGCGGGGAGAGGAAGCGCTCCTGCCACATGTTCTCCAGCCGCACTGTGATGCTGTTGGCTAACATGTCCTCTGTGATGATGATCACCCGCAGGACACACTGGGCTGTCACGCTGTGGATCCCATCTGTGGGAGGGAACAGGGACACACTGCAGGTCTTTACCTGCTGCTTGGAGGGTCTCCCCCCTCCCACCCTGGGGCAGAGCCCTGCACCCCAGTGTGGCCCCCAAAAGGCCTGAGTCCTTGGCTAAGGAAGCTTGGAGCCACAGCCCTGGGGGCTAGCAGGGTGTCAGCTGGGCTGGAGGAGGAGCAGTCAGTGCGGTTGCATCTTCTCCCTCCCCTCAGGCTCTCCACTGAGATAACTCTCAGGTTTTCTCCCTGTCCTGGATCTCGGCAGCAAACTGAGCTCTCAGGAACTGAGCCGGAGAGATTCAGGCAGAAGGAAGTCCCAGCAGGAGGTTGGGCAAACATAGGAGCCGATGCCAGGGCCCGGGGTGTTTTGCTTCCCCGCTGCGCCCTGCCTGCCTCCCCCACACTGCCTTTCCCTGCGCCCTCCTCCTGCCGTTTCCTTCCTCTCTCCTCCAGGACCTCCAAGGCTTTTGTACCGGTCTCCCTGCTTCCCCTCTTCTCACCATCTGCTCTGCATCTCTTCCTCCCTCAGCCTATCTCCAGTTTGTTTAATTCTCTTTAATCTTTATTTTCCTTGGAAACAAACTCCCTCCCCTTGGGACCCTGCACCACGCAAGCCATCTCCCAGGCACAAACACAGGAGCATGCACGCACACGTGGAGCGTGCCAGCATGCCCGCCTGCTCTCTCCCAGGACCCTGGCCATTAGCAGCACCTCACCCCCACGTTAGGCACACTCACGTGCCAGCAGCTCAGGCTGCAGGGGCACAGGCAGCGCAGCACCAGCCCAGACAGGTAATGACACAGCTCCCACCGCAGCACCCACCCCAGCAGCTATGCTATTTGGGGCCCCCTGCCTCACTCCACCTACCCAGCTCCCAGAAACCCAACAGATCCCGCGACCCTTGGAGGGTCATACCCTGCTGCAAATTAGGAAATACTGGCCAAGATGGGGGCTGGACAGACAGATGTGACCATGTTCCTAATTCCTCCAGGATACCCTGCTACAAGCACAGGTGGGCACAGAGCACCCCTCCCAGCAAGACAGAGACAGTAATTACCCCAGCTGGGGACCTGCCAGACAGCAAGCCCCATACCTCCCTCAGATAAAACTTCCACCGGTCCCCTCCAGACCACAATTGCCACAGCCCATTCCCCAGCCTCTCCACTTTACACTGCCCAAATGCAACCTGCCTGGCCCTTTGCTGAGGCTGTTGCTCTTCCCCCTCTCTGCCCAAACAGAAATTTGGGCAGTGGTTTTATTTTTCAGTCACTAACTCTCTTTTCCACATGACCCCAGTCAGTCGCTCTGCCAGGAGATCTGCTCTAGCCTGCGGTGGCCCTGGAGGGACCACAGTGCATTACTGGTGTGAAACCAGGAGAGCTGCTTGTTTACTCACACACTGTAATCTCTGCCCCTCTCTCAGCCTGGGTATGACACCACCCTGTGCTGTTCAGAGCAGGGATGGGACTCACAATCTTCAAGGCGATCCTGTCCTAAGCCATGGGAAGGTGCAGCACAGCCCTGTGCCACCGCATCTCCCCTGCCCACCCTTCCAAGCGGGATGTAACTGTGTGGCACATCTCCTGCACACAGATGTAACCTGGGCAGCTGCTCAAATATGCGCCGCTACCAGGACTCACAGGACAGACTAACGGACTGGACCATTGGCACCAGTCAGCCCTGGCCGGCACGTGCTGAGGCTACAGGTGAAACAAGCCTGGCAAACCCAGCCAGACTCTGCTCAGCACTACTTCATCGCCTACAACCCAGTGCAAGATGGCATGAGGGGCAGCAGGCTTCCTGGCACCCCGCTCAGCCCCAGCCCTGAGGAAGACCAGGGGTGTAAATGCCAGCCCCCGTTCCCTGTCCATGCCCCATCACCAAGCCCCACATGCAAAGCAAGCTGCCTTTACTGTTCCTCGCTTCCCATGGCTGCTGCGACGCAAAGCCTTTTGATTTCCCCCAGCCCCATTTGAAGTTTGCAGTGCAGGAGGATTTAAAGATTGAAACATCTCCTTTTTTCCCTCTCTCTCTTCTACTCTTCAGAAGGTCAAAGCTTTCTCGCGACCCTGCAAATTCCAACGCAACCACCAGATTGCACGATGGGGCTGGTGCTCTGGAGATAAGGCTCACAGGGGGCTGGGAGAGCAGCAGTGCCAGTACAGTCACCCAGGAGCTAATCTCCTGGTGGAAGGGGGGTTGTTTCCCTCTGAAATCGAACTGCTCCAGCCCCATATGGAAGAAAGGTGAGAAACCACCCCTCTGTGTGACACCCTGCCAACTCTGACATGGAGGGCAGCATGAGCAGCAGTTACCAAACAGCTCAGTCCAGCACCATCGTGGTTGGACACACCAGGGGATTTAGACCTGCCTGGGTCAGCGCAAGGATCCTGTGCCATCACCTGCGTTCCCTGAGGCACCTTCTCTCTGCAAGAGGCTCATGGGTTGCCAAGAGCACCCAACCCTTGGGAGGCAGGAGCGAGAAGAAAGCCACAAGTGTGGCTCAGCCATGCTTGGTGTAAGATACTTCCCAAGCCACCAGCACCCTGGCAACCCTCCCCAAGCAACCACCCGGTGAGGCAGCACCACAGGATGCCATCACTTTGACACCACCTCTCTCCTCAGTGAGAAGCTGCGCCTTGTCCCCACTACCTCTCCTCTCCCTTTGTCCCCTCCTCGCAGTTTGTCTCTCTGGCCATGGCAAGCATGAGGTTGGCTCGAGCCCAGCTGCCTCCCGCTCTCCAGCTCATGGTTTACCCGGAAGCAGCTGCGAGGCCCAGGGGACAGCTCTTGCTCTCCCCAAGGGCTGCTTAGTGCCCAGCAATAGGCAGGCAGACGTCTGCCTGATTTATGGGTGTTATTAGGTCTTGGCTGATGCGATGCCGAGTCCTGGGGCAATCCAGAGTCCAGCAACACCTCTGAGGAGCAAGGAGGCTGTGGCCAGGGAAGAAGGCAGGCCACAGGATGCCTGACACCTTTGGCATTACCCAGCCCACAGCAGGAAAGCACAAGTGCCCCTTTCCTGGTTCCCCACGGCAATGCGGGGCCAGGCCTGGCTCCACAGCCCTCCCCAGCAAGCTCCCCCAGAACACGCTGTCTCACCTCAGCATGACACCCAGGGCTGCCTCCCCCTCGCTCAGTGCAAGGGGAAGCAGATGGTTAAGAGAATGACCCGCTGCAAATGGGGGGTGGGGGGGTGAAGCTACCAAAAGAAAGCCCAAAGCTGGCTGGAGGCACTGACCCCCCTGGGAGGCATTTTAATCACAAATGCTCAGCCTTTCTGATTAAATCCTGCGGCTGGAGAGCTGGTGCCTGGTGAATATTCATGCAGCAGAATGAGGAGCCCTGGAAACATGCCCACAGGGAAAGGAGCAGAGAGAAGGGATGCAAGGGGCTCCAACCCCCAGCACCAGGTCATCGTGTTTGCACTTCCAAGACTGACAATTACCAGCTTCAAAAGCAGCGAAGCCTCAGAAAGAGCTCTGGCCAGAGAGCGGGATGGGCAGCAGACTCCTGGGGGCTGTGCTGTCAGCCTGGGAATGGAGCTCCAGGCCTGCACTGGAAACCTCTTGGGGGAAGCAGGGCTGCCAACCACTGCCCAACAGTCTTCTGGGTCTGCCAGGGCGAGAGCCCATCTCTCCCATCCCCCCTGTGCTGCCAGAGGCTCTTCAGATCCCTGGGCAGCACCCCAGCCCACCATGTGGCACGAGGCATGGGGTCCAGCCAACACTCCCACCCAGAGAGCCTTGGAGTCACTAGCAGAGTTTCCCCTTCCCCTACAGCAAACATTTTGGCCTTCAGCCTCCCAAGGAGCTCCAGGGATCAGAAAGAGGGCAGCTCTGCTCAAACTGCCTCCCACACACCCCTGTCCCTCACTTGGGGGGACCAGGAGCTCAGAAATAGGCTCCAGTGTATCATCACCTCTCCTCTTCTGGGCAGCAGAGCCAACATCTGAGAGAGCAAAAGCCACTGCTCTGCCTGCAACACCCTGAGCAGCCACCCCAGAGATGGCAGGGTGCTGTGGGGACAGATGAGGTAGCTTTCACATTTGCAGCTAAGCAGCAGTAAAATACCTCCAGATGGAGAAGCTAGGAAAGGAGAAGACAGGTATGGGTAAGATGAACATTCCTAACCACTTCTGAAGGGCTTTGACAGACCTCTCAAGATTTGATGATACTTGACAGGTTAAGAGATCTCAGAAGTAAATAAGACTCCCCTCACCCAGCACAAAGTATGAACGTCACTTTCCCAGTAGCTCTAAAGACACAGACTAAATTATAATAACCAACAAGACTCCCAAACTGTTCCCTAACCAGAAGCGGGTATCCTTAAGTCTCCCACCCTAACTCTGTGGTCAGCACCTGCAGCTGTGATGGACCTAACAGGGAAGGAAGCTCCTGAGATTGGGCTCCTAGAGAGGAGAGACATGCAAGTTGTGAAAGGCCAGGGCAGCCCTGGGACCCTTACCCAGCTTGAAAAGATGGCTCTGATGTGTTCAGACATAGGAGTCAGGACAAATGCACTCATTGGGGGGTCTTCCCTGCCAGGCTGGAATTTTAGGTGAGATATCGTGGACAAACGGGTCCCCTCAACAGGGCAAACTCCTAGGCTGCAGGCCAAGGGGAGCTGCATACAAAGAGCTGGAGGGCAACAGCGGCAATGCAGCAGCCACAGCTGTGTGTGGCTGAGCCTCCGCTCTTGTCACCAGCCCAGCAGCCTGGCCCAGTGAAACCAGTCTGGAATGGTTTAAAGTCAACATGATGTCAGTCTTCTTCAATGTCCTGATCCCACACAGCGCTGCTGGCCATGGACACAGCCCCACCACTCCGCTGTCTTGCGCCCTCGGCGGCCAAGAGCAGTTTTTAGCAGCCATAGGTGCCCACATGTCTGAGGAGCTGGGGTCAGTTCTGAGGCTGTCAGTCCTCCTGGAAAGGCACTGGTTTGTGATGGCCCAAATCCTCCCTTGCTCCTACAAGGGACTGAGCTGAGAACACACGCAGCTCACAGGCAGGCAGAAAGGCCCCTTGCCCTGTGTTTTAGGAGCATCCAGCCTCCCTCAAAAGGACCATAAATCTCACAGGCAGGCAGGGAAGCTGTCCCCTCCTCAGACACTGACCCTCAGGGCACCCACCTAGGTGCTGTTGCCCTCCTGCATGAGGAAGGTGCTCGGGTGCGGTGCTGAGCCCTGGCAAACAATGCAGCTGGGTCTGAACGTCCTGGCCGCCAGCTCTGCAAACCCACCCACCCTCCCCCTGCACACAGCGACAGCATGGGGCCAACGGGGCTGCCAGCTGGGCGGGGGGCTTCAAACAATAAAGACGGAAAAACCAAACCAGACCTCCACAGCCAATATCACAGTCAACAAAAGGCCCGTTCTTCCAGTGTCTCATTTCCCTCCCCGGTACAGCTCTTCCCCTTCCATCTTCTCTCCTCCTTTGCGAGCACACCTCTCCCAGTCTCCCTTCCCGCTGGAAGATGACGACACTCTAATTGCAAGGG